TTACATCAGAGACTAGAAAACAAGATGGCCAAGCTATTCTGGCTCTAATGAGATTTGAGTGTCCTGGGAAAATGTTGCATAATATGTAAACAACATTCTTGTGTCTATCACAAGTGAAAATAAAAGACAAAGGGGTTTTTTTTGTTTGTTTTTTGTTTGATTTTAATTTTGGAAGAAGTATCTTTAGATGACACCCTGGAGTGTATGGATTTCCCCTCCTCTTAATAGCTCTTGCTGGTATTACAGCATTAAAATTGGTTTTGAAACATTTTTATTTTTGAAAGTCATATAACCCCCTCTTAAAACCTTAGTTCTTTTCCCATTGAGGGGCTCTCATAATCTAGTAAACTGTTTGCCAGTACACATATTGTATAATGTAATGGGAGAAGGTCATTTTCCTTCTGTTGCCTATCTGGTGATTCAACTAAACTAGTGAGTTTCTCTTTATTTCCAAGTTTACTTTTTCCGAAGGTTTAAGAACTATCTCAGGCCTGTCCTTGGAGGGAACACCAATTCCTGAAGGATTTTAGCTATGGCAAATGGCAATAATTCATTTATTCATTCAGCCAACAAGGATTGAACATTACAATGCACCCAGTACATGGTACCTTGTAGGTCCCTGCTCTCATAGAACTTTGTGGGGACAGAGAATATATAGGTCAAGAAGTAAATATAGTATATATATTTATAGATAATGACAAAGGCTATAAGCAAAATTAAAGAAAGTTAAAGAGTTTGAGAGTGATAGAAATGGTGCTACTTTCAATAGATTGGTGAGGAAAGCGTTCTCTGAGAAAGTGATAGTAAACAAAGCCCTGAATAAAGTGAAGGCATGAGCTATGGAAATGATGGGAATATGTTTGCTGTGCTTGAGAAGCAATAGGAGGCCTGTATGGCTGGAGTAGAAAGGTAGAGGGGGAGAGTAGTCAGAATGAGGTAGGAGAGTTATGTAGAGATTTACAGACTATGATGAAGAATTTTGGATTTCATTTAAAGTGTCGTGATGGCATGCTGTTGGAAAGATGAGACCGGGGAGAGCCATAATCTTATTCATGTTTTAAAAGTATTACCCTGGCTGTTGTGTATACAATAAATGGTAGCAAGCAAGAGGGTAAGCAGGAAGACTAATGACAAACATACTATTATCTGGTCACCTGAAATATATCCAGAGATAGTTTACTAATTTTTAACACAAGCTGTTAAAACGTTTTAGCCTACCATGGAGGAGTTCTGATATGTATATGACTGACTGTTTTCAGTTAAAAATCTTTCTCAGAGATGAGTAATTTCACGAAGGTCACTGAGAACATAAATCCTAGCCCTTCAACATTAACACAATTTAGTGTCTTTGAAAAATTGGTTTTTATTTGTTTAAAACTTTTTTCATCTGATTAAAAATAGCAAAAATGTTCTCTGTAGAAAATTTGGAAAATAAAAGCAAAAAGTAATAAAATCTATAATCTTATCACTTAGAAATAGTATTTTAATGAACTCTTGACAGTTATTTATCTTAGCAACATTTCTGGATGATTGCTTTTCTATTTCTATTTTATAGTTGAGAACACAGAGGCCCAGATAGGCTTTGACTTGTTCAGAATCACCAGAGTGATAAGAACACTATTGTCGTGTTCTTACTGCCCTACGAGGTTCTCAGCCAGCCTCTGAATGGAAGAAGAATAGTGTAGTCAATTATCAAGCTCTAGACATGGAACAATGAATTAGCTAAGTATGGTCTAACAAAGAAAATTGAGAGACAGAAGTACAATCATTTTCCCCTTTCCCTTCTTTGTAGGAGGCCAATGTTCTTAGATCAGGTTGCAACACCATGTATTTCCCCAGGAAGAGATTCTCCCCTGAGATTTATGACATGACCATACTACAGTAGATGTGTCCATTTGTTCATTGTGTTCATCAAATTTTATTTGCATAAAACATGCGAACTTTCTACCCAGAAAAGAAATTCTTCATCACCTCTGATCTAACTTCCCTAAGGATATAAAACTTTTATTTTTTAAAATAGCTGTCTAGACTTCTTTTTCTGAGCTAGATTTTTACATGAGCCTTGTTTTCTGGCTTTATTTTAATTTTTTTAAAAATCTCGTTTTATAATTTTTCCATTTGTGGCAGAGACAAGTACACTTTCCTTTATAGTTTATATTCCTCATTACAATTAAAGTAGACATTACTCTGTTTTGGACAAAGTAATGTAGACTGAAGCATTTAAGAGCCAGTTATACCACTCCCATCCTTCTCTTTTCTGTCATGGCATCCCTCTATTGAGATCGAGGGAGATTATATTCCTGAGTTAGCATAGAAACCCTGCCTGCTTACATGAACTTTGTGTGAGCAAGAAGTAAACTTTTATTGTGTTTGGTCTTTAACATTTTGGGAGATTTGTGATTACAGCTTAGTCTAGCAGTCTTCTACATTGGTTTTATGTTTGCTTTATAACATACATAGTTTATAAGCATATAATGATAGTAATGACATATTTAACATAGTGTAGAAAGACTTTTGTGATGTAATTTCTGTCCGTTCAGCATCATTTCCCACAATATTTATACCCCTAACTTTATACTTACATTTCTCCCAGTTGAGCATACCATGCTGTCGCACACCTGTGTCTTTGCACATGCTGTTTCCTCTGCTAGAATTCACCTTTCTCCTTCTATCAGATGCATGTGCATCTTTCAAATTCCAGATCACTATCACTTTCCCAGGAAACATTTTCTTGATTTTCTCTGTTTTCTTTGTACATTCAGAGTTTTTTTCAGTCCACAGAGTTCTTCCAGTTCACATTTAATTACCTTTATCTCTGTGATTAATAGTAAGTTATAAACTCACAATATAGTCACTTCTTATAACCTAGTATATAGAAGGCATAAATAAATATTTGTTAAATGAATGTCCTGCTTTTGAACAGAGAGCAGCTTAAGTCTTTATTGGTTAATACCTTTCTGAAAATTAGTTTACAATCAGTTGAGAATAAGGTAGGTGACCTTTTGTATAGAATTAGGAAGTTATGAAGAAAAAGAAAATGAGAGAGCAGGAAGGAGAACTAATGTCACTTCACAGTTTTGCTATGATCCAGCTAAGGCTCTGATAATAATAGTAATATACTGTATTCGTTTGTCATATACCAGAATGTGATTGTGTGCGCATGCTCTCTCCCTTCCCCCCTTCCTCCTCCTCCTCCTCTTCCTCCTCCTCCTCCTCCTTTGGTCATAAACTATATGACCAGTTTCCAGTTTCTCTCATTGAGGTGTAATTGACATACAACATTATATTAATTTTAGATATACAACATAATGATTTGATATTTGTATATATTGCAAAATGATCACCATAATAAGTGTAGGTAACATCTGTCATCATGCATAGGTACAATTTTTTTCCTTGTAATGAGAACTTTTAAGATCTATTCTCTTAGCAGCTTTTAGATGCGCAGTACATCATTATTAACTATAGTCACCATGCTGTACATTACATTTCCAGTGATAGCTCACATATTCTCCCATTTTACTATGTGAAGTTGCTTGCTACTCATGAAGACATCTCACATTTGGTAATATTCAGGAGTTCTTTGTTTCTTGGCTCGTTTGTTTTCCCTTTTTAATGTAAAGTAGAGCATGTGTTAAAAAAATTTAGATGTTTAGGTACAGATTAAAGAAATTCTCAGGCACCCACTGCCTAGGTCAAAAATAGAAGTTTACCATAGTCCAGAAGTCCCTTATGTGCCCCTCCCGATTGCATTCCCTTCTGTCCTCCGAAAGTAATCACTACCCTGAATTTTATGGAAAGCATTTCTTTGTTTTTTGTTTGTTTTTAATCATATATGTTTTAACCCCTAAATGCAATGTTAAGTTTGGCTGTTTTAAAACTTTATAGTAAGTGGAATCATGCTGCATGTACTTTTCTGTGACATGCTTCTTTTGTGCAAGATCGCTTTTGAGATTCATCTGTTGATGTGTATAGTTGTACCATTTATTTCCAATGCTGTATAATATTTTATTGAATTAACATACTCTAATTTCCTTATTCATTCTATTCATGGACATTTAGATTGTGTCCAGAGTTTTATTGTTATAAACAATGCTGCTACAACATTCTTTCATATATTTCCAATGCAAGTATTTATCTATGGTATATACATATTAGTAGAATTGCCAAGCCATGGAATGTGCACATGTTAAATTTTATAAGATAATACCAAACTGTTTTCCACAGCAATCATAGCTATTTTCTCTTTCACCAACAGTAGAGGGGCATTCCCTATTGCTCTGAGTCCTTTCTGATACTTGGTATTATCCAACTTAAGATTTTGCCAGTCTGGTGGTGTGAAATGGCATCCTATAATGCTTTGAATGATCCCTAATTACTAATGAGTTTGAACATCTTTTCATATGTTAAGGGTATGTGCTTTTTTTTTCTTCTGTGAAATTTCTATTTACTTCTGTTTTCCATTTTTCAATAAGTTGTCTATCTTTTCCTTTTTTTATTCATAGGAGTTCTTTATATGTACTAGATACTAATAATTTGCCAACTAAATACATTTTAAATACCTTCTTAGTGACTAATTGGATATGGGAGGTGAGGAAGAAGGAATATAGAATTACTCCCAGGTCTCTGGTTTGGGCAACTGAGTGCATGATGGTGCTATTAAACTAGGACATTACAATACAGGAGGAGAAATAGATCTGGGGGAGAGGGGAATGAATTTAAGGTATTTTGGAATTTGATATTCCCATGGGATGTCCAGGTGGCGATGTCTCAGAGAGAGTTGGCTGTAAGGTCTGAAGCTTAGGCCAGGCTCTGTTAGGCCACCTCCGTCCTGAAAGAATCTTATATGAGGGGCCTTCAGGAGAGTACAGTTAGAAGGAACATGGTACTTCTCAAACTCATGTTTCTCTGCCCGTCCCAACTTCTTTAGGCTATGGATTCTCCAGTTTAAGCTTTTTATGAAATAAACGTCCCAGTCAGATGACCCACCAGACACTTCATTTTAGTTATAATGATTTTATTACATTTTTGTCTCTCAACAGTTAAATAATCTTAATATTTCCAGGATATCACACCATTTTTACCTTGAAAAACATCCAGCATATTTGTCTTACATAACATACAGAGCATATATCTAGATTTTAAAATTTCTCCTTTTGCACATTCATATGTAGTATTTAATTACACAAGTTATTCCATAAGCACTGAAAACAATATAAGAAACACTTACATTTAAGAATTCTACTTTGTATAGTCTTTCATTAAATAACACTATTTTCACACACATTTCCAGATATTTCAAGCTTATTCTATGTGTTTGCTGGAGATATATATATATATATATATCCAAACACACACACATATGTATATATATCTCTCCAAACACACACACAAACACATATATATATATATATCAGAAGAATCTGGGCCCCTTGGGAAGATGGCAGAAGCCCATGGAGTAAAGACCTTTCTTTAAAAAGCGGATTGTATTATCACTTTGGTTGTATTCCTTTAATTATTTGAGATTCTAAGAACTCTGATAAGCCTAGAGGTGAACAAATCTCTTAATAACCTTAAGAAGGTAGGAAAGGTGAGGAAAGCAGGGCTAGGACTTGGCACGCTCACTAAGAATGTAGCGCTGAGCATAGCTTATTGTATAGTACCCGAGCAGAGTTACTATTGAACAGCTCAGGATAATGAACCATCCACCTCCCTGAAGGAGTAACAGCTAATTTGGTGACGGGTCAGTCACCATTTAGGAGAACTGCAGTCCAGGGACAATTAGGGCTTGACAAATACTGTATGTAGAGAAATGATGACAAAGGCAGCCTCTCTCTGGTCCATCCTTATCTGTAGTGCTGTGATTATGCTTTTCTTTGTGTTCGAGGAGATCTTTTAGACCTGTAAGAAGAGAAAGGGGGTGTAAAAATGTGTACTATCAACTCTGGCTTTAGCCTGGGCTCTACTTGGAACTAACTGAGTTCATAGATAACCCCAAGTCCTCAGGTGAAGCGCATGGTGAGCTTTCCTGCTGCTATGCAATCATTGCGGATTACTAAGGCTGCTTTTTTTTTTTTTTAAGTAGTGAGAGAGCAGTTTATTAGAAGAAAAAGTACACTCCAAAGAGTTAGGAGTGGGCTGCGGCTCAAAGGCTCAAAGGGCAAAGGGTGCTGATTGGCCGGGGCTGCTTTTTTAAATGGCTAGGAAAGGCTTGGGTGAAGTTTGGCAGCTTTTCTTGGATAGTTATAGCTCTGCCTCAAGGTTGAAGTGACTTATTGACACTTTTAGACAGGTAGTCAGGGTAACTTTTGATACCACAGAAGATGGCACCTTAATATTTAAATAAACGGAGGGAGAGGAGAGGGCATAGTGGCAACACACTTTTGAGCCAAGGACCCCACAGGAAAGCTCAATGCAAATATTTCTAACTTCCCAAGATTGACATTTCTTAAAGAACAGTTCTTCTGCAAGCAAACTTACCTTTCCTTGCTAATTGCTTTCAGTATATTCTTGATGACCTTAGACTCTGGATTCAGACATCTTTTCTCCCCATTCTTTTTCATTGTGGCACTATAGAAGTAAATAGGAATGAAAATATTTAAAACAGTATTGGGACAATAATAGAGATGGGATATAGTTTTTAAGCTAGACGTTTCAGTTTCACTCTACATGTTTCCTTTTGCTATACAGAACTCTTAGAATCATCACAAACCCTTTGCTGATCTTTGTGCTTATCAGATTTTTATATGGTTACAACCAGGGAAATGATTCATCAAATGGTATTTTACTCACATGATCTCAACACGTGGACAAGATTGACTTGCAGGAATCATTTCAAGTTTCTCTAAGGACCTTGGATTAACAGGTTGATCACTAATCTTGATGCAGGTACAGCGTGGAGTTCTAGAGAGAGGCATTCCTGCAGAAAAAGAGACAGGTACAGCAGGGGCGGTTAGCAGTTTTCATTTTAGGCATTTAATGTGCATTAGGTAGCACTTAGCAGAACCTGTATCCCCCTGTCATCACATAGTCACTTAATCTGAGAAGGGATGATCCCATTATAATACAGCTCTGAATGATTAATTATCTGAAAGAATGTAATTGCAATTTACTGATTTTACAGTCAAACCCTTTAGCACAGTTCATATGGTAAATTAAGCTGTTAGCTAAGGAGGCATCTGTGTCATCACCTCCTCCTTATTCCTGCCTGTTTTCTCTCTGTTCTCCCTCTTCACCTTTCTTTTTTCCTCCCACCCTTCTTCTCTTTTTTTATCCCACTTGCTCCTCTGCCTATAAACTCAGTGACTGAGGGAATCTCTGCTCATTTACCCTTCATTTATAGGCTGTAAAACTTCTGCAAATACACTTTTTCTATTTGTAGAAATTAAACCCAGTCCTTACAAATTAAATATCTCTTGATGTTCCTTACCTTGAGTTCCACTCAGAGCCAGAATGATAAGGCAGAAAATAAGAACAGCACTTTGGTTCATGGTGCTGTGACTGGAGATTCTTCTGCAGCAAGCTAAGAATGTCTAAGCAGTTGAGGAATGTCTCAGAAAATGCAGGGCTAGGATGCAGTATTTATTTGTAAAGGCACTTTCCCTCTCTAACTCTGATTGGATAACATTACAGTTAACTCAGCAAAACCTCTGTCTGTTCCTTGGGGGAAGTCCCATGTTGCAGAATTATTTGTATTAAAGTATTATTTGTATTGTGGCTTCTGAGTTATGGAATTTCCCTCCACCCCCTTATTTTCAATTAAGAGTGAGTTAGATTTCACTTTCCAAATCATGAACTATTTCTTGAAAAACAGAACTGTATTGCATGTAGAAATAATTTTTTAAATGGATGTTTGATTCTCATGTTTCACCTCCTACAAAATAAAAATATCAAAGTCAAAGACCTAAATACAGTTTTAAAGTGAGTATGTCTTAATATTAAAGCAGATTTATTTATTTATTTATTTTTATTGGGGAATTGGGGGATGGGAACAATGCTGGGGAATTGGGAGAAGGGGAACAGACAAGTTGCTGTTGTTTTGTTCTTCAATCTAGTTGTGGAGGACGTTGCTTCACTGGCCCATATTGGCACCATCATTGTGCTCTTCCCGGGTGAGGCAGATCAGTCGCCGGCTTCTGGACGGCTGCTCACTGCGGCTTGAGGGCCACTCACGCTGGCTGCTGGCTACACACGGTAGCCCATGGCAACCCACTGCAGCAGGGGCTGCAGCCTACTCTGTCGCCGGTGACTCATGGCCGCCCAGCTCCAGGTCGAGCTGTTGTTCAGCATCTTAGCTATAGAGGGCAGTGTCACTGGCCCTCATATGTGGGATCCGAACCAGGGCTCTCTGGCATCCCAAGCCAGCTCTTAACCATCGCGCCACTCGGCCAGCCCGAGTATGTCTTAATATTATGTTTTGAATACATTTTAATTTGCAGTAGTAAGGCATGAATAAGAATGAATATCTTACATTTATTCATTTATGGGTTTCACAGATGTCATTTACTTTCTCATTTTATCCCTACAATAACCCTGTAAGAAGATAGGAAGGTTATTTTCATTTTATATATAAAAGAATAATCTTAGATGTTAGATAATTGTGTTAGGTGATACAAAAGTTGCCATTCACTTATTCTGTGATGTTTTTTCCTCAACATTTATTTTATAATTACTTTTAGAGGCTAAGTAATTTTGTAAAAATTCTGCTAAGCAATTAATAAAATCCTCAGTAATAGCAATTTTTCATCTTTTCTAGGTAAATCTAGTTTTTGAAAACAATAATTTAGCCAGGCATTGCCCTTTGATCAAATACTATGAAGTAATAGGTTTGACCTTCTTGGACAGGGTTAAAGATATGGAACTGGCATGTTTCAAAGGATTACAGAAATGTTTTAACTATTCATAGCATCATTAGAATAAGTGAGTAGCCTCCAACATAACTATTTTGAGGCAAAACACTACCCATTTGGATATCTGATTTCTGGTGGGTTAGTAAAAAAGTTTTGTGTGTTATAGTCAGTCCTTGAATAAAAACATAAGATAACAAAAAATAGAGTAAGAAAATGATTCATAGCTATAATAGGCTTATTGCAAAAACAAAGGAACTTTTTTTAAGAAATAAATTTAAAAGAGGGACATGAGTAGAGACAGACCTTGGAAGAACAGAATAGAAACAGAAAGGTTGATTTAAAATGGGTGCAGCTCTAAGAAGACTGTCAAATGCAAAGCAAAGAAAAAAAGTGTTAGCTGTTGAACTGATAACAGTGATAACTGAAATTAGCACAATTTCAACTGGATAACAGATAGGGGCAAAACTTGGTATCTTAGCATTAGTACTTGGCTGAGTTTTCATGGCAGATAACATCAGTGGGATACCCATATAGTGTAACATGTTTTGGGCCTCATAGTGAAGTTAAGCAGTGTCCAGGTCTGGTTGTGCTCTTTGTAAGTGATCGGTAACAGGGGATCCAAGATGAAATACTGTTCCAAATGCAGGTATCACTCTGCAATGGAAAATCTGATGCAGATGATACTTGGAACCTAGGGAAATGTCTGAGAGGCCTTTTCAATCAGCGAGGCTGCAGCAATATAGAGACAGGCCAGGGATAGTCAGTCCTTCCATCTTAGGATGAGGCTAGTGTACCTGGCAGGTACTGGTCCAAAACTTGTCAAAGAGGCCGACAGTGTCTGGCCGCTGGCATGAGCTGCCGTGAGCCACCGTGAGTGGCCATCCAATGGCCGGCGAGCAACTGCCTCAGCCAGGAGGAGCGCAATGATAATACCAATATGGGTCAGTGAAGCGATGTCCTCCACAACTAGACAGAAGAACAAAAGGACAGCAACTTGTCTGTTCCCCTTCCCCGTGCGTTCTTAACCAACTGAGCAACTCGGCTGGCCCTCTAATATTATTTTTAACTGTTGTGGCTTGCTGAATCATTGTAAATGTCCTTCTTAGTGTAGATAGTCCAGCTCTCTTTTGGTTGCTGTTAGCATGGTATATCTTTTTCTTTAGCTTTTAATCTGTTTGTGTCCTTCAATAAATTATGTCTTTTATAAAAAGTATACAGTTGAGGGCTGACTAAGTGGCTCAGTTGGTTAAGAGCGCAAGCTCTGAGCAACAGGGTCACTGGTTCGATTCCCACATGGGCCAGTGAGCTGCACCCGAGCTGAGCTGCTGCTGAGCCTTGGACCAATAAGCCTCTCAGCCTTTACTGAGGGGGCTCTGTGGATATGTTGGGGTATGCTATCAATGCTTTGGCAAACAGTTTATAATTCTGCCTTAGCCTTTAGTTCCTGTTTGTGCAGAACCTCAAGGTCAGTTTGAGGTGAGAGATTAAGGCCTTGCCAAGTCTTTTCTGAGTATAGACACAGCCCTGCACATACACATGGCCTTCTCGATTCCTAGGAGTATATTGGAGCTTTTCAAAGCACACTGTAGACATCCCTCTCTTCAGTTTTTCTTTTTCAGCCTCTTATCAGACGCAACTGATATAGCCACCTCAGGTAGTTAACAATTGTGAAACAATTGCTTCTGATTGTTTTCAGCAAGGTTCTAGAGCAGCGGTTCTCAACCTGTGGGTCGCCACCCCTTTGGGGAGCTAACAACCCTTTCACAGGGGTCGCCTAAGACCATCGGAAAACAAAAAGATACTTACATTACGATTCATAACAGTAGCAAAATTACAGTTATAGAGTAGCAACAAAAATAATTTTATGGTTGGGGGTCACCACAACATGAGGAACTGTATTAAGGGGTCGCGGCATTAGGAAGGTTGAGAACCGCTGTTCTAGAGGTAGGGCTGTTTGCACCAAGTGAGCTCAGAATCTGGTCAAATCTGTGAGCTTTTAAGAAAGCTTTCAGGCAAGTCAGTAGTGATAGTCACCAGAAGAAGGGGCTTTTGGAGAGCTCCAAACCTATTCTGCCACTCCATTGCTTTCTAGGCAGCTTTTCAGGGGTCTGTAGTTGTGAGGCTCTTTTTCAATGCTACTATAGAGTAGGGGAGAGGGAAATGAGAATATGACAATGAAAAATGCCACGAAGTGTTCTGTTCTTATTGAAATCCAGCTGTTTCTTAGATATTCTCTGGATTGCTGTAAACCTTTGGCTGATTTCCCGGTAAGGAAGTATCCCGTCTTTAGTTTCAGTTTCCAATGCTGTTGGTTAATCTTTGAGCCTCTAAATTATGACATTAGGACAAAACAACCAGTCTGCTTTGACAGACTTGTTATAGACCCAGAAAAAAAAAAATGCTTTCCGAGAAACTAATGTGCTTAGAAGAAATTTCCTAAAAAGTGAGCAGGAGAGTTCAATGATTTCTGTAGACTGGCAATCTCCTCAGCTGATGTACAGCACTCCTTGGAAAGTATGGGAGAGGAGGGCAAAACTTTCCCTTTCATAGTTTTGACTGAGCTCCCACAAGACTCCCTTAGCTCACAGTTCTTAGTACAGGTTACATACTTTTGAATTGCCCATCTGTCTTATCATTCACGGCTAGCCTGAGCAAAAAGGCAAAGTGGGTGGTGGACCCTTAAAATCATCATGCTTGGGATAGCTGAGGATAGTTTCTGTTTTGGATGCATTTTAGATCATGCAATGCTTTGCTTTCTTCACACTTGATGGAATGATGGGCTAGGAATCTAGAGATACAGAATACAGTTTTGTCTCTCACTTGCTCTGTGATTTTGGACAAATTCTTAGGCCTGTTTATGCTTCAGTTTTCTTATCTTGAAATGCACATTATGATACCTAACCCATCCATATTTCAGGTTGCTCTAAAGATGACAGGAGATTAAAAAGGTATTTTAACAAGGCTAAATGAATTTTTACTGGCCAACATTTAAAAAATATAGCCAGCTCTCTGATCAAGTTTCAGCTTATCTCCTAGGTGCAACAAATAGTATTTTCTCTCTGGACAATGCAGTTATTCATATGTGGTAAGCTGTATCTGTTAGTTTACAGCATTCACTGGCTAAGGCATGACTCTCCTGGTAGAACTGAGGATTGAATCATGCAGCATTTACTCTTAGGAAAGGACTTATTTAAATAACCTAGCTTATGTGCAATAAATACAAGTTCACTGTGAATTTACAAAACAAGACAAGGATATTTATTTTTCAATTCTTTTCATTGTACTGTAGGTCCTAGCCTGAAAAATAAAAGAAAAAGAGGAAATTAAAGCCATAAAAATTGGAAAGGAAAAAAAAATTTTTGCAGAAAACATTGCATAGAAAATCCAAAAGAATTTACTGTTTTAGAAATAATAGCAGAATTTATCAAAGTGAATGGATAGAAGGTCAATACATTACACTTTCTACATCAGTAACAAATAATTTAAAATGTCATTTTAAAAAGATAATTTACAGGGCTGGCCAAGTGGCTCAGTTGGTTAAGAGCTCGCTCAAGAGTGCGAGCTCTAAGCAACAGCAGTTCGATTCCCAGCCAGAGCTAGTTGCCACTGAGCTGCCAACAGGTGGCAGGATGGCTCAGCTAAAAAAATAATAATAATTCACAGTAGCAACAATAAATACTTAAAAACATAAAACACTTAGG